TTGAACTCATGACTTCTGGCTCCTTGGTCGCGCAGGCAACCCACTGAACTATTATCAGTTCTAGAGCGACAACACTCCGACAATAAGGTGGTTTTTAACGGCCAGCTAAGGCTGGGCCTGTGATCTCGGCCGACGACGAAACAAAAAGCTAATATCCAATTCTCTTCCAGCGACAATGAGATATTTCGGCAGTCCCCGAGGGTGTGATTCGCATGGCGAAATAGATCACATTTCCAGTGCGATTTATTTTGTTTAACAGCAATCACACACCACGCAGGGTGAGGTGCTTCAGCCTGACCCCAATCCAGCTGATTTGGGGGGTGATTTCCAAGCAGATAAATGGGTCGCTTTAAGGGCATTTCCCCCCCCCCACACACACACTTTTAACATAACCCTTTCCGGTACAATCAGGCACGTGGGTCTTTCTTTCTAAAAAGCACTCGCATTTTCAAAATGAATAAATCCTTTGGAGGTTTTCGCCTTCTATTTATTTCTGAACTTTCGGAGACCTTGGGAACGAATCGCTTCCCTCCACCGCAATTCGCCGGGCGAATTCCCAGGTGCCTTACGAGAAGCTTCTCAAAACATCCCTCTTTCCAGCAGGACTTGTCAAAATCTGCTCACCCAACAGCTGCCGAGAGCATCTCCCTTTAATGTTTTTCAACTATTTTTCATCTGATGGTAAAGGTTTGTCGACTGACTTAAATTCAATTGCATTTTGATTATTATTAAGCTAAGTTAAACTCTATTGCATTTTGATTATTAATTTTTTTAAAAAAAATTTTTGGTCATCGTTGCGAAAAAGCCAGAGTGACCCTCGGTCGGACGGGTGGCATAAAAAAAAATGAAATAAAGACACCAATAAATAACATTTTCTCCCTCCGGATGCCCATGTACTGTATTTTCTTCTGACTGTCAAAATTTGGTGGGGGTCAAATTTATTTCTCGTTTCAGACACCAGGCCACCATGAATTACGGCGACATGAATTTTAGATCCCACTTCCCCTCCTATGGGTGTAACCCCTCGGGATGCTTTGCTGTGCTACCCAACCACCTCCAAACGATGTCCCTGAGGGATGCCGGCTCCCTGCCTCTGGCCAGCGTTTATCCCTTGGATCAGAGCCCGCCAGTAGGAGCTACGATGAGGTCTCTGCCTGCTCTGCTACACAGCCCGAGATCCTTTCGTCTGCCAGCCTTAACTGCTGCACCTTTCGGAGGAGACCCCGCGCCCGGGGAGAGCTTTCGGAGGATCTATGGATTTCCCGGTTTGAACGAAATGCGATGGATGCAATGAAAGAGGGCCGACGACGATCTTACTTAACGACTAAGTGCTTGGCTTCAGCTTTGCGGGGACATTCGAAAGTCCAAGGTCTTAAGGGTCAAATTGTTTTCTTCGATGTAACACAAATATTGCGTTCGGAAAGGGGGAGCTAATTAAACAGAATGCAGCAGGACTCTACGATCTGCGGGGTCCCTATCTGCTGATTCTCTTATCCATGGTCGAAAAATATTAAAAAAATATGTAAAGGAATATCCGAGAAATATAGATTTCGAAAGATGAAGTTACCACACGAGGTATGGTGTTCACAAGATATATTTCTATGATGTGATTACCAGAACTGGCCATTAGTGGGAGACAGAGACCATGTTATGTATATTGTTTGCTGTCATCCACATTTTTCAGCATCCGCGTGGAAGCTTTGAACAGATCCCAATGATACGGGATCCTACTCTACTTAAGTCATGTACAGTGGTGCCTCGCTTAGCCATGTTAATCGGTGCAGCAAAAATCGCCGCTAACCGAAAACATCGCTAAACGATTTTTAAAAGCCCATAGGAATGCACTGAAACCCATTCAATGCGTTCCTATGGGCAAAAAATGCACCTTTAAGTGAAAATCCTCCATACGACGGCCATTTTCGCTGCCCGGTATGCGAGGAATCCGTCCCAAAACACAGCGGGCAGCCATGTTTTTTACCCGGTGGCCATTTTGGAACCGCTGATCAGCTGTTGGGAAAACATCGCTATGCGAAAATCAGTAAGCTAAACAGCTTACCGATCATCGCAAAGCGAATTTTCCCATTTAAAACATCGCAATGCGATCGCTTTTGCGATCGCAAAAACCTAATCGCTATGCAATTTTGTCGTTAACCGGGGCGCTCGTTAAGCAAGGCACCACTGTACCTTAATCTCCTGATAGTATCCTCTTTTAATGTATAATTTGACCCTACAATTAGCCGGGAGCTGGGTTTAATGTTGCGATGCCTTATATCTTTATTTTCTTGTGCACAAATCTGTCTTCTCTCTGGGTCCTCCCTCACTTCTGTCAACTAAATGTCTGTTCATAAACTCAAGACGACTTTATACTCCCTGAACAGCACAAAGAAGTTTGCTGACCCATCGACTTATCCAGTAACACCTACGGGTCCTCTCTCTGTGCTCATAATTGTGTTCATTGTCTTGGAACAGCCTGTAGTTCTGTTTCATCTCCTGGCTAGAAACGTTCTCTGCCTCCTCTTTTCTCATTAAAGCTTCGTCACAGCACTGCACCTGTCTCATGTGGTTCCACGTGCCTCAGTTTCCTTTTCCCGACGCCTGTGAGGCTGAACGGTTGGGTCATCTAAAGAACCTTGTAAATCTGGGTCTGGGGACAAATTCCTGGGGACACCTCTCCAGAAACGGAAGGGCCATACCTCGTAAGAGGGAGCCAACCTCCTCTCCACACAAACACATACAAAATTAGTAACCCATCTATGGTCACCTCTTCCGAAAGAACCCAGCAATTTCCAGTTCTACATCTAGAGAGGAAAAAATAAATAAATACACAGTTACAAGATGGGGAATAATAAGCTCAGAAATGCGACACGTGAGAAGGATCTTGGAATTGTAGATCCAAAGCGGAATGTGAGCCAACAAGGCGATGTGGCTGCAAAAATGGCCAACGTGATTTTAGGATGCATTAGCAGAAGTACAGTCTCCAAATCCTGCGAGGTACTAGGTGCCCTCTAATCGGGACTGGTTAGGCCTCTTCTTGAGTCTTGTGTCCAGTTCTGGACATCACGCTTGAAGGAGGACGCCGAGAAAACTGGAGCGAGTTCAGAGGAGGGCGACAAGGATGATGAGGGGACCGGAATCCAAGCCCCAGGAGGAAAGACGGAAAGAACCGGGCCGGTTTAGCCTGGAGAAAAGAAGACTGAGTGGAGATCGGAGAGCACTTTCCAAAGATTTAAAAGGCTGTCATCCAGAGGAGGGGCATGATTTCCTCTTGATCGTCCCAGAGGGCAGGACACATCACAATGGGCTCAAATCTACAGAAAGCCAGATTTCAGCTGCGTATCAGGAAAAACTCCTTAAGTGTTAGAGCAGTACGACAACAGAACCGATGATCTCGGGAGGCGGTGAGCGCTTCCAATGCTGGAGGCACCCTCTGCCCGATCTGCTTGGATTGGGGTTCCTGCCTTGAGCAGGGGGGTTGGACTAGATGGCCTCAAGAGGGCCCTGCCAACTCCATTCACTTGTGACTCTACGTTCTGCCCGCCCCACACCTGGTTTCCTCAACTGCCCCTTTGCATGACGCCAATCTCTCTTGAGCGAGTGGGTGGGAACGCCGCGAGATAACAGGAAATCCACTGGAAAACTAACAATCCAAAGAAACTCTTTATATGGGGGGGAGGAAGGGAACCCCACAAACTTTATTAACTCAAGAAACCCTTCGGAAATCTCTGTACGGCCATCCGTACAAGAGCTAACCCTGGACATTGAAAGGGGGTGTATAAACAGAGGTGGTGGGGAGAATGAGACAAACCGAAATCACTTCTACCACTACGCACGGCGCTCCTCCCTGGCTCCGGCTTCCGAGGCACCCTGGCGACCCTCGAACTCGGGGCGGAGAAGCCCATGGGCACCCGAAGCGGCCAAGGCCACCAGCGAGGAATGCGAGCGGAACAGCCAGCTCCTCCGGGGTCTTGCCTGAATGAGGACTCCAAATCTCTGGGTTGGTTTGTTGTTCCCAGGATCCGACTCTCGCTCGCAAGTGGGGAGAGAGGGAGGCCAAAAATTCGCCACAACCTCGTTTGGTCGACCAAGACAGCCCGGAAGCCTCGTTGCCGATTTGTTCAAGGAGAGAAATGGCTGCCCACACTACAGAGAGCCCACGGGTAGTGGTGGTGAGGTCCTCAGGCGGGCACCGAGCCATCCCGGTGCCTGTGGAACTCAGAGAGACTTGCGCGGCCTCTTGAGAAAGGACAGAGTGTAATCGCGAGGGGCGGAGGTCTTCTGCTTCTTCAGCTGCACCTGGGACTGCGCCGTGAGTTGCAGTTTGATGGCGCTGGAGTTGATCTTGGCAGCGACCAGCAATTCTTTCATGCCCTTCATCTTCTCGCTCTGGAAGGTCAGCACCGGCCCTTCTGGAGGAGGGCTGGGACCGCTGGCGGGGCCCTCGTCCTTCTCCGGCGGGGGGCGGTCCATCCGCTGGCCGGAACTCGGTCGCCGGCGCTCGGTGGCCTTCTTAGGTAAAGGCGGTTCCTCTGGCTTGGATTCCCGGCGAGGGCCCCTCCGCCGGCCCTCCCGGGGGTCTTCGCTACCTTGGTCGTCGTCGTCATTCGCATCCACTTCCCGGCTCACCAGGGTCACCTTTTGCCGCACCTGAGGGGGGAAAGGAAAGCGGCATTAGGCCTTCTGACGCCAAGCCTTCAACGCACAAGCTTGTCCGAGGGGGGGGGGAGACAATCCCGTAACTAAAAATATTTTCTTTAAATTAAAAAATTAGAAAGCACAACTGCAGTCAGACCAGGGCTTCAGTATCCAGTTTTACTTATTCGCAATCTGAAACTATTTTAAAAATTGAGAAAAAAAGTACTTTTCACCATGTTTTACCAGAACTGACCACTAGAAGGTGCCAGAGACCACGCTATGTATTCTTCACCAACATGAATACATAGCATGGGCTCTGGCCCCCTCTTGTGGCCAGTTCTGGTAAATACATGGTTAAAAATACATCTTTCTAGTTTTTTTCTTCTAATATTTTTAATATTTACAGATCACATATAAACTAAACTGTGGACACTGCTCCCACGGATACAGACATTTCTTCTAATATTTTTAATATTTTCAGATCACATATAAACTAAACTGTGGATACTGCTCCCATGGATACAGACGTCCTACAGGAGTGGCGTCTTGTGATGATTTCCAAAGTTACATGCACAGTCTGGACACTGCACCCCTGAAACACCCCCCATTTTCCAAGGCAAGGGGGGTGAAGCCTCACCGCGCCATCAAAACGGCTCAGGGACTGGACGAGGAACGTGGCCCAGCCCACGTGGAGGACCGGCGTGGGGCTGCCCTCTTCCCACTTGCAGATCCCGTCGTAAAAACGGAGAAGGTGGGCGAAGCACTCGGGGTCCTGCAGGGCTGATCCACCCGCTGGAGAGGGCGAAGCCTAGAAGGGAGACAAAGCGGGGATATGTGTGTGTTTGTGTGCCAAGCTGCTCTGCCAAACCAGGCACGCCTTCCAGGTGCCCACAACCCACACACCCATAGATGAAACGACCATCTTGGTAGTCAGAGGCGACCAGACATTTCATGTAGGCGAGCAGGAGAGCTGGAAGAACTCCCTCCATCCGTGAATACAGGCCCAGGGTATCTGGAAAGTTCTTCACTACATTCCAAACAAATCCATTTTGACTAGACTACTCAAAACCCGGCGTCCTGTGCTTCCTCTGTGTCTGTGAGTCCAATTTCTAAACATGAGGACTAGTCACTTTTACAGGTTTGCTTGGCATTCGTTACAGAACCTGGCCTCAGCCACATAAACAAAATTCCCAAGCAGCAAGACAGCTGATGTGCCTCCTTGCTTATAAATGCCCGCAAGACAAAATGTTTCATCCTCTTATCTCACATCCTGTTGCAGTTTTTAATTTTCTGGTTAAATGCCTTTTGGCTGCCTAGCAGAGGTGCCGAGATTCACAGAGCGGAATAGCTTCAAGTTCGCCAGAGTAGACCACCCCTTATTTTTTCCCCCCTCCTCAACTGGTACTTGCAGCCTCAAAAAGTCACTCTGAAACTTTAGGAAGAATAAAAGGTTTCATTACAATTGAACAGATTAAACAGCAAAATAACAATAAAAGGTTTCATTACAACTGAACAGATTAAACAGCAAAAATAAAAAACACGACTGCTTTTGGCAACAGTCCCAACCAACCTAGAGAGGGGGGAAAGGAACTTCCGGCAGAGAGGCGGGCCTCTCTTTGAAATCAGAAGGAGGAAAGGAAGGATTGGTCAGTGCGGGACAGACGGACAGGACAGGTGGCCCAGCCCAGAAAGGTCCCTACGAACCAAACCTACTAAAGGGAGCTAGCCAGTTTGTAAAAGTCCCGACGAATCAAACCTAACCCATCAGCCTGTTCTTCGTACCTCTCCCCTCTCACCCGCTCCTTTCTCCTCCGCCGCGTCTGCCAGGCTGGCCACCTCCTTAAGCAAGTTGGGAATCACGTCGTTGGCGACGTCGAAAAATTCCTTATAGATTTCTTCATCCTCTCGGCAGTAGTTATAACTGGGGGAGTGAAGAAGGGAGGGAGGCCAAAAGTTAGCGAGCAAGTTTTTTTAAAGGAGAAAAGCAGGGTAAAAAGAGTTTATGGAAAATAATATAAACGGAAGCGCCAGACTTCCACATTCTCCAGGAGAGGAAAATCCTTTTATTAAAGATTGCTCCCTTGTCTCTTTTAACCGAAGCCCAGAATTTGTGTGTGATGCAAAAAAGCTTGATGGCGAGGCTCGAATCTATTCCTGGAGAACTTAGGGAGGGAGGCGAGACTTGAACTCACTCCTGGATAACGGTGGCGGAGTCGGCCCAAGCCTCCAGGGCTTCTTTGACGTTTTTGTTGCGACAGTGGTAGCCGGCCAAATACATGTACGGGTAGATATGCTCGTTGTGGTAGTACGTTTTGGCTGAATTGATACCCTAGGGAGAGAGAGAAGGGGTTATCGGAATACAATGCATCAATGAATTCACGAATTGATCGAAATCATATTGTCCTTCTGCCCAGCAGGGTCGCCCAGAGGGATTTCTAATACAGTGGTGCCTCGCACAGCGAGGTTAATCCGTTCTGGATTAACCCTCGCTGTGTGAAAGCATCGTTGAACGGGGCAGGAAAAGCCATTGGAACGCATTAAACATGTTTTAATGTGTTCCAATTGGGCCGAATACTCACCGTTCAGCGATGCTTCCCTATGGCCGGCAGCCATTTTCACGCCCTCCCCTCGCTTAACGAGGGCGCAAAAACGCTGCGCGCAGCCATTTTGGGGCTTCCAGCGGCCATTTTGTAGCCGCGGAACAGCTGATCGGCAGGTCGCAAAGCGAAGGTCGGTAAGCGAACTGCTTACCGACCTTCGCTCTGCGATTTTCGCCCATTGGGGCCGTCGCTCTGCGATTGCATTAGCGATCAAAAAAACGCCCCCGTAGAGCGAATTCATCGCTCTACAGGGCGCTCGTTGTGCGAGGCACCACTGTAGATCAAAATGACTCCAATCGTCTAAAAAGGCACGCTTTTAAAAGCATACTCCGGCGCTCTGCAAAAGCCTGATGGAAAGAAAGAAAATTCTAGAGACTTCAAATCTTTTTGAACAGCGAACGTTTGGCCACGGGACGCTCAGCCCATGTATGGCTATGAATCTATTCCCGGGGTGAGGACACCTACCACACCTGGAAGATAGAAGTATGAGAAAAGATCTCTGTGGCTTCTGAGAAGCAGCCGGAAAAGAGGAAGAGAAAACGCGACACGGACGGACTCCCAGAATGAAGCCACGGGGTTGTGTTGGCAAGAGCTTTTAAAGAGAGGACCGTTCGGAGAACGCTCATTCAGAGGCAACGCGACAACACGGAATAACAACATTTAGAGAAAGGCTGTTTCACGTATTTCAGGGCCAGGCCGACAGCCCAGGGAGTGTCCATGAGGGTGTTGGGGACCTACGGGGCCAAATCACCCCCAATCTCACACGCCGGGAGGGCGCCGTGAAAACGCTCAGCCCATTCTAAGCATCGCTGGTGGCTGGGAAAAACAGCAATAAAAAATTGAAATTCTATACCTGGTGATACAAGTAGAGGGGATCCGGTCGGCCAGGGGTGGGTTCCAGCTCTTCCAGATCGGCGAGGTTCCCTAACGCCATCGGGTATCTGCAAAGGGAACCAAAATCATCATCATCTTAGGATTGCCAAGCTGGAAGGGACCCCCCAAGGATCAGGTGTAGAAATATTTTAAATAAAATGAAAAAGAAAAAGTTCTCCGATTGGACGAGATGATCCTTTTTATCCTTCCCAGCTCTGTGGCTCTACAATTTGTTTTTTTAAACATTTTTAATCTGTTTGTAAACGTTTGGAGACCGTCCCTAATAACTTACTGTAAACGGCTCTAGGAAGCCCTAGGCAGCAAGACTAACCAAACATTTCAAAACAACACACAAACAGATAAATTGATTTTGACATCTTAGTATGACACCCAACGGTTATCCATATTGTTTGTTATGCTTCAGAGAAGGATCTTTTAAAATTATTGCAATTGTATTGCTTTCAATTTTGAATTGCTGCAAGACACCCTGAGGATCTGTCAGATTTTATACATGAAATCCGTCCCTAATAACTTACTGTAAACGGCTCTGGGAAGCCCTAGGCAGAAAGAATAACCAAACATTTCAAAACAATACACAAACAGATAACTTGATTTCAACATCTTGGTATGACGCCCAGTGGTTATCCATATTGTTTGTTAAGCTTAAGAGAAAGATCTTTTTATATTATTACAATTGTATTGCTTCCAATTTTGAATTGCTGAAAGACACCCTGAGGATTTCTCAGATTTTATACATAAAATCCAGTAGGAACCCTGTATCTGTGGGATTGGTATCTAAAAACATTAAAGGGAAAAAAAAAACAGAAATACATATTTTCACAATGTATTTATCAGAACTGGCCAGTATTCTTACAGGACACATTGCACGGTCTCTGACTCAGTAAATACATCATGAAAACACTTTTTTTCTGGATTTGTTTTCTTTGACCAGGCTATGTCGAGCGTTCACTATTATCCACGGATTTCGGTATCCGCAAAAGCTTGGAACTCATTCCCCTGTGGATTTTGGAGGGGGGGGGGTCCTACTGGATAAAAGAACAGACACATCACAATATGAGAAAAAGTAAAATTACTTACTTCTCCAAATGGCCCAAGTCATAGAGAACCCACAGCAGTTTCTACAAGCAACAGAGAGAAGACACAAGCTGAAGACACATTCGGTAGCAGGGAGTTATCTCCTTTGGGCTGGATTGAGCCCCTGCTCCCCAAGAAGCAAGGCCAGGGTGGGCACCCCGGGAAAAAAAGGGCACCCCTCCCACCCAGCACAGAAAGGGAAGGGGGGACCCCCCACAGGTAAGGAAGAAGGGCTGCCCAATTCACCTGTTGCAACTGCAGCAGTTCCAAACTGTCGGAGTGGAGGTCGATGGACGGGTTGATGGCGCACACCATGAAGGCCACCTCCATCTGGCGGGTGCAGCTCAGGCAGGAGCCCTTCAGGTACAGCCAGCTCTGCAAAAGGGCCCGGAAGCGCGGGGGGACGAGCATAAAGCCCTACTTTTCGGAGACAAAACGTGCAGGGCTTCTGCAGGAAAGGTCTCGTGGGAGAACCGACGCCCGTGGCCACGGAGCCCGACGGAGCCTCCTCGGGCTGGCAGCCGCTCTCCCGGGTCCCAGGAGGAGAGGAGGGCGCTCTCCCGGTGCTATTAAACCCAGAATAGGCTGGCGGCTGAGCCTAGAGATCTGTGGACCCCCAGCTGGAGCCTCCCTTTAATAGCGTCGTTATTTCTCCACCTCGTTCGGCATTGCTTGGCTCTGACAGGCAGCCGCTCTCCAGCTTTAATTCTCTCCGGCCTCTGCCCAGAGGCGTCGGAACCTGAATTGCCACCTTAAGCAAGGGCTCTCCCCCTCAAACCTTAACCCCCACACCCAGAGGATGAGAAGACGATGACATGAATGAGAGGAACACGCCGGCTTTGTGAGGTAGGCCAGCATTATTTTCTCCCTGTTAAGGACAGCCGACTGAGGTTGGGAGGGGAAAAAAAAACTCAACTGGGGGCCTTTACGTCAATCTGTGGTGAGAAAGTGAGAGGTCCGATGTGGGTCTAAATTAGTGGCTCTCAACCAATGGCTCTTGGACTACAACTCCCAGCAGCCTCGGCCTCTGGTGGCGCCGGGAAAGCCTTCCGACAGTTGTAGTCCACGATCCATTGAGTTCCTAGACTTGGGAGCCACTGATTCCTGCCTCATTTCTCTTTCTATATACAGTGGTGCCTCGCAAGACGAGCACTTCGTTTGACGACAAAATCGCACAACGTTGAAGATTTTGCGATCGCAAAAGCGATCGCAAAACGATGTTCCTTATGGGCTTGTTTCGCTTTGCGACGATCGGTTCCCTGTTTCGCTAACCGATTATCGCAAAACGAAGATTTTCGCACAGCTGTTTTCTGGGACGGATTCCTCACTGCACGGGTAGCGAAAATGGCCGCGCTATGGAGGATCTTCGCTGGACGGTGAGTTTTAAGCCCATAGGAACGCATTGAATGGGTTACAATGCGCTTCTATGGGCTTTTAAAAATCGCTTTACGATGTTTTCATTCTACAGTGATTTCGCTGGAACGAATTAACATCGTAATGCGAGGCATCACTGTATACACATCCACACCAACAAACACATGCGTGCTAAAGGAAAATGGGAGCTGTAGTTTGGAGGGAGAAATTCATGCCATCCCTCTTTCTTGTCCACCTCTCCAGGTCAAAAGGAGAAAGGGGGGGCCTTTTCGTTTTTACCCGTTCCGCCACGCCAGAGTTGACCGTCTGGCCACGCCGGTCCTCATTCCCTTTCCCGTGCCACGTGACCTCCGCCGTCTGCTCGCCGTCCTTGCCGAACACCACCCACGCGTGGTCCTCAGAGAGGGCGAGGTGGACGTCCAGCAGCCCCAGGGCCTGGCAGGCTCCCACCACTGCGAAGGCCACGCCGGAGCTGTCCAGTTTGGTACCTGAGGAAGGAGAAAAGTGGAATCGGTGGAGGAGGGGGGGAAGCAGGCCACGGAGGTGGCCACGGGGAGTGACTTAACACGACGGGCATCCACGCTCCAAGGAGAAGACACCATTTTTTCGTGAAACAGCGTGTGCCGAATTCGTACACAGAGAAGCTAAACGAGGATGTGGGATATATTTTTTTTGCAAATTTGCAGAAAATTATGTTTACGTCTCACCAAGGTGACACGGGGGGGGCACGTGACCTGTGAGCCCTCCACTGATGGAGACTCACGGATCTTCCCTTGCTGTCCAGTCGGACTTAAGCCACCTTGGTGACTTGACTCAGGTTCCCCCACACACAATGAACCAGAGTGTTTTCACGATTTAGAATCGACCCACCCCTTCCCCTTTTTTTTCTAGGGGGGAGAAAAATTATTTTTAATAGAGCCTTGGTCTCAAAAACACAGACCCGGCCTCGGGACGTGGGAGCAAAGGCCGGGTCGTGGGACGCGGCCGAACGCGAGCTGGCCGGGAGCCCCCACCTGTGATGAAGCTGAACAGCGACTGGATATGGGCCCGATCCTTGAAGTAGGAGCGGCTCAGGCTGTTCCAAATGACGTCCGAGACCTTCTTGACCAGTTCCCTGGAGGAGTAGCCGTCCGGCCGGGGGTAGAGGGAGAGGTCGACGGCCCCGCGGATCTGGGCCGTGAACCGGGCGTGGAGGGCCCCGATGATGCTCAGGTCGGCCACTGGGAAGTAGGTGAGGCTGTCGGGCCCTTGCGCGGGTTCGAAGCTGATGCCTGGGACATTGGTGGGCAGGACCCGGTTGACCGCCAGGAAATGTTCCACGAAGCCCAAGACGAGCGACAGCAGGACCAGGTCCGGTTCCTCCCGGCGCAGCTCGAGTTCGAAAAGACGCACCACGTCGGAGACCGAGCGCAGCGGGAAGAGGGCCTTCTGGGCGCTCTTCAGCCCCATGGCCCGGGCGGCCGCTAGAAAGCAAGCAGGGAAAGAGGAGGAGGTGGCGTTGGCAGTCACAAACCACAGAGCAACTCCTATCCGAATCCCAAATATTCGCTTTCCGGCTTGTGCGTGAATCTTCGTAAACACAGCGGCAGGAAAACAGGGGCGTATCAAGGCACCCTCCCCTAAGCTCAGGCCTCCATGGAACTTGGTGGGAACTAGTTGCAAGTTGTTAACAATCATCTATTTCTTTCTGGAGTAAGTATGGGCAGGAAAAAAGGGAGACCTACGGTGTGTGTATGTGTGACCAAATTTGTTTTTAAAGAAGATTATACTAGAGACGGGGGTATTTGCATACAAATACCCCCCCAATCTCTAGTTCAGAAAAAAGTCTGAAATTTGTCTGGCGCCGACATGGATGACATTTCGGCGCCAGGTCAAAACCTTCCTGTTCCAGAAGGCTTTTAATTGAAATAACATGAACTGTGGGTCCTGGTGGGAATTTTAATTGTAATTTAACTGTATTTTATCTTTTACTGTATTTTAGTTGAATTTTAATTGTTGTAAGTCGCCCACAGACCTTTGGGTAGAATG